ACTTTAAATGTTTTTCCCAATAGTGCAGCATCAGTATGAAGCATTGCTTACATTATGTCTACACTGGATGAAAATAGAGCACTTCATTTATAATCGATGAAAATGCTGAAACTGGAAGTATGTGTGGGATCAACAGACGCCAACAGATATCAACAGATATTTTGTGTGTTGTTTTTTTTATTTAAAGAAATGCTTAGAAAGAACAAATATAAAAGGAATTGTAGTTCCAGTGTGAAATTGCCCTCTCTCACATTGACCTACACATCTCTTGAATGTGGATTTGATTATTTTAGTCTGTTCCAGTGATCTTGCATGTGATCTACTTTCAGCTCTCACATATTTAGGTCATTTTTTGGTACCGGCAGCAAATAAAAGCACAGCCTGTCCTGGTTCTCCATCGCAGCTCTTCTCTGATCCTGTGCTGCTTCTGTAGCCCATATCAGGCCTTTGGTTAGCTTCTGAGACTAGATTTGTTACCTCGGTCTGCTGCCGTTCACTGTAAATAAGTCTGTCAAACTCCAGACAGAACAAAAAACACCATAAAACCTCACCATGTATCTTGTGTACTGTTCCAAGCCATTTTTTCCTCAACCGAAGCTCTGAAATCTCTGAAAAACATTAATTGCAACTTTATTTCACAAAAATAAAAAGGCAGTTCTGAGTTTATATCTTTTAATTCTGACTTTTTTTGTCAAAATTGCAATTTTATTACCTGCAATTCTGAATTTAAATCATGCAATTCTGACTTTTTTTTTTTTTTTTCTCAAAATTGCACGTTCATATGCAATTCTGGGTTAATAATTCGCAATTCTTTACTCTTAATTCTTTTCGCAACACTTTATCTCACAATTATGCATTCATATCTCACAATTCTGAATTTGTCACGTAACTCTGACTTTTTTCTCAAAATTACGAGTTTATGTCTTGCCATTCTGACTTTTTTTCTCAAACTTGCGAGTTCATATGAGCACATCTGAGTTTAAATCTCGCAATTTTGAGAAAAAAGTCAGAATTGCGAGTTCATATGAGCACATCTGAGTTTAAATCTCGCAATTTTGAGAAAAAAGTCAGAAAATAAGTCTGTCAAACTCCAGACAGAACAAAAAACACCATAAAACCTCACCATGTATCTTGTGCACTGTTCCAAGCCATTTTTTCCTCAACCGAAGCTCTGAAATCTCTGAAAAACATTAATTGCAACTTTATTTCACAAAAATAAAAAGGCAATTCTTAGTTTATATCTTTTAATTCTGACTTTTTTTTTCAAAATTACAATTTTATGACCTGCAATTCTGAATTTAAATCATGCAATTCTGACTTTTTCTCAAATTAGTTTTTATCTAGCAGTTTTAACTTTTTTTTTTTTCTCTCAAAATTGCAAGTACATATGCAATTCTGGGTTAATAATTCACAATTCTTTACTCTTCATTCTTTTCGCAACACTTTCTCACAATTATGCGTTCATATCTCACAATTCTGAATTTATGTCACGTAACTGACTTTTTTCTCAAAATTACGAGTTTATATCTTGCAATTCTGACTTTTCTTCTCAAAATTGCGAGATTTAAACTCAGATGTGCTAGATATGAACTCCCAAGTTAATATCTTGTAATTCTGAGTTCATATCTTGCGAAATTGTGAGTTCATATCGTAATTCTGAGTTTATATCTCGCAATTCTGACTTTTTTCTCAAACTTGCGAGTTCATATCTTGCAATTCTGAGTTTAAATCTTGCGATTTGGACTTTTTCTCAAAATTACGTGTTCTTTTCTCGCAATTCTAAGTTTATATCTCGCAATTCAGACTTTTTTCTCAAATTTGCGAGTTTATATCTCGCAATTCTCAGTTTAAATCTTGCAATTTTGACTTTTTCTCAAAATTACGTGTTTTTTTTCTCGTAATTCTGAGTTTATATCTTGTTATTCTGACTTTTTTTTTAATTGCGAGTTTATATCTTGCAATTCTGACTTTTTCTCAAAATAGCAAATTCATATTTCATATCACAATTCTGGGTTTATATTTCGCAATTCAGACTTTTTTCTCAAAATTGCGAGTTCATAGCACAATTTATATTTCGCAATTCTGACTTTTTGTCAAACTTGCGAGTTCATATCTCGCAATTATGAGTTTAGTTTTTGCAATTTTGACTTTTTTCTCAAACTTGCGAGTTCATATCTAGCAATTATGAGTTTAGATCTTGCAATTCTGACTTTTTTCTCAAACTTGCGAGTTCATATGAGCACATCTGAGTTTAAATCTCGCAATTTTGAGAAAAAAAGTCAGAATTGCACTATTTTAACTCAGATGTGCGAGATATTAACTCGAAAGTTAATATCTTGTAATTCTGAGTTCATATCTCGCAATTCTGACTTTTTTCTCAAACTTGCGAGTTTATATCTCGCAATTCTCAGTTTAAATCTTGCAATTTTGACTTTTTCTCAAAATGACGTGTTTTTTTTCTCGTAATTCTGAGTTTATATCTCGTTATTCTGACTTTTTTTTAATTGCGAGTTTATATCTCGCAATTCTGACTTTTTCTCAAAATAGCAAATTCATATTTCATATCACAATTCTGGGTTTATATTTCGCAATTCTGACTTTTTTCTCAAAATTGCAAGTTTATATCTCGCAATTCTGAGATTATACCTCGTTATTCTGACTTTTTCTTAAAATTGCAAGTTCATATCTTGCAATTCTGGGTTTATATCTCACAATTTCAGACTTTTTTCTCAGAATTGCTCATTTACATCGCACCATTTCAATTGCGTAATTGTTATTTTGATTTCTTATTCAATGGCAGAAACAAGCTTCCATACGAATCTTGTTAACGTTTTCATTCCGATTCAAAAACATCACCTCTCACCAGGTTTGGTGCTAAAACAGCATTGGTTCTCACATACGTCCTGAATGTTATTTGTTGTTTCAGGTGAGCACCAGCCGTCCATGAGCGCAGATTCAGACGCCTCACTCATCATGCCAGTGGAGCTCGTCCTGTCCAACGTTGAACTGCAGTCCGATCCAGAACAGGACGATGTGAAGTCTTGAAGTGCCATAAACGGAGCAGGACCGCAGCGGGACGATAAAAGAACACGAGCAATAGCAGCACAGGTGTGCAACCTCCTTTTCTGACCTCATGATCTCAATCGCCGCAAAAAAAACAGCTTGCTTGTCCTCTTCCTCTGGCTGTATTGCACTCAATGTCTTCTGTCCCAAGCTTGTGCTACCAGACTGGAAAAGCCACATTGTCCTACGAAGGATGTTTCCGCTGTTATTTTGGAAAATTTTGATTGTTTCAAATTCCCTATGGGATCACTGCCAGTATACACCAGGATATTCCAAAATGAATATACGTAATGCATCAATGAATGTGCTCTACATTTGCTTTGAGTGTGTAAAGCGGTTTGTGTGTGCTGTAACCAGCAGTTCATATGGTCCAGTGTCAGATGCTCCTTGTGAAGTATCACCAGTGCTTATCGTGTGCAGGACGCTATTCTTGCATCTCCTCAAATGTGATGTCAAATCACGCTACAGTGAACCCAGCTCATGACATGGTGAGTGTTTCAGCAGCCGTATCCAATGACAGTGTGTCACGATAGTGTTTGTGAATCACAATGCCACAAACGCAGATACTTTCCGCTCATTTTGTCTTGACTAAGTGCTGTCATCTGTTCTGCTAGGCCACATACACACTGCTAAATACAGTGACAACTGCATTCAAATTCAACCTAAATTTTCATGTCATATTTCATTTAGCTTGGAAATTAATTACATTGTGGAATGTCAAAAATAACTAAAGGCCCATTCACACGCAAAACAATAACTATTAGTGATGCACCAAAATGAATTATTTACAGAAAGCATGATACCAAATTTAGTTTTTCATTTAGAAACATTTATTCGAAACACTGAAAGTTTATTTAATAATCAATTGAACTGAATTTATTAAAGGGATAGCCCCTTGAGATTTTCCATCTCATTTTCGAGGGGGTCCCAATTTTGTTTTTTTTTTATTTAATTGAATAAAATTGAATTAAAATTGAATTGAATGATTTAAATGCATTTCATTAATATTCAACAGTCGAAAACCGAGTCATATATAAATATTTAAATTGCACATAAGGCATTTTTTACATACATTTTAATTGTATAATTAAGTTTCTATTGCAATTCATTATCAAAATATAAAAATCCAAAAGCATAACATTAAGTAAAAATATAATGAATGGTTATTTTATGAGAATAGCACAATATCATGCTTGGAATCACTTTCAAAAGGATATTTTCCTATTTTTGTATAAATAAATATTTTTGGTTTCATAAGTAATATTGACAGCCAATCAGAATCCTCCTCCTGACTTAATTGCAAGCAAAAAATGGTGAATGGTATGATTTTTTTGAAAATATAATATAGAGCACACTGCATGCATTACGGTATCCCACAGTGCTATGCTTGACTGATATTATGATTTTAATATCAAAAGCATTTTTATTAAAAAACAATAAAAAAAAAAACTTTTATTTATTTATTAATTATTTGATTGGACTCCATACTAAAATGGACAACAACTGAGTCCAGGGACTTGGATTGTCAATGTTGATGAAAAAATGAAGTTTAAGATATTTTACACTACATTTAATCAATATTGTTAAATGAAGGTTTTTGTTTATATAATATCGTGGATGCCACTCTCTGTCATTTGACAGAAATGTAGCATTGTAATCTTTTTCACATATGCTATGTTTATAATCATTTGTCAGTATAAAGTGTATACTTTTTACAGTTTTCAGTATGCAGTGAGCTAGTGTTCCATTCTGAAGTCAAGCTTCGTGATTCATACACATGTGATTCACTCCCACAAATAACAGCACTTGTCACTAAGAGGAATTGTTGGGTTGGATTTAAATGTACAGAATGGTAGAACGTTTGTAAATTTAGGTTTATCAAATTTGGTTTGTTTTCTGTGGCATCAAGGATTTCTACATTATATTCGCGGACATGATTGCTTTACTCCTAGCTAAAAGTAAAGTGCGTAATTATTGCAACACCAAACAGAATTTCAGACTGAGCAGCAGACGCCACCAGTTTGTCCAAACAATGGATGACGACAAAAACCCATCCGAAGATTGTGCTTTGTCACTGTTTTTGCTGTTCTGTTTGGTTTGCTGCAGAAATTGCACATGTATCTTTTACAGGCCAGTAGTAAAAGATAGCATTTAAGCAGCTCACGGTTAGCATATGACTAACAGGCCTGTTTGATATGACCGTTTGCTTTTTATCACGCACAATAGGACAGCGAAAGACTATTGACTGGTTATTTTGATATCAAAGGGTTTATTTTTCTAAAAAAGAAAAAGACACATACTGTATTAAGATAAACAACACCCCTTTTAAATATTTATGTTTTACTAAATAGCTTTCCAGTATAGAGATATAGTGATCATATGTAGCGTGTCGATGTTGAACGCAGACTTACAGTGTGTCTGTGTATCTGCCAACTTCAAATATTTCTTATTATTTTTCAAACTATTTATTAAGATGATGCTATTATTAATTATTAGTCATTTAATTAGGTATTTTGTTTTAATGTTTAAATATTTTATTTCTCCGTGAGACTTTGTCTGCACTTCCCCAGTCAAGCGCGCTCATACCCAGAATGCACTGCTGCAGCGGGACGGTCTGATGAATGTTCAGTACACTAAAGCTTCAGTGTTTCATTTGCACACACTGTTGGATATGTCTGCATATGTTGGTTATGTTAGGACAGGTGGATGTCGCGTGACCTGTGCATTTGTACTGAATGGTCTTGTTGTGGAGGACAGCGCTGGCGTCTGTGATCCTCATATTCATACTCAGTAATATTTAACATAAAGGAGGCTTGTGCAGTGTTATTTGCATCTGTCAGCCAAAAAGCACATGAGATTTCCCTGAGATCTGTAGATTTTATTGTCCCGTTAGTCTAGCATGTATGAAACTGATGTTTAGAGGAATTTTATAAGATTAGACGGTTAAGCAGTTATGATTTGGTACTTATTTAATCATTGTAACAAACATGCACAAACTATATGCAGTGGGCTGGATTCACACAAAAAAGTTTTTAAAAATTCTTATAAATTCTAAGTTTGTAGGAATGTTGAAAAAAGTGCAATTCTTGAAACCATTTATAAAAATTCTAATAATAAATTCTAAGAAGTTCATAAGAATCTTGAAAAATGTGCAATTCTTGAAAAAAATTACGAAAATTCTAAGTACATAGAATTTATCATTAGAATTTTTTGAATTCTTAAGACAATGTTGAAAAATGTGCAATTCTTGAGAAAAAAAATCCAAACATACTAATGATAAATTCTAAGAAGTTCATAAGAATGTTTAAAACATGCAATTCTTGAACCAATTTACAAAAATTCTAATAATAAATTCTAAGTTCATAAGAATCTTGAGAAAAAATTGCAATTCTTGAAAAAATTAACAATTCTAAGTACATAAGAATTCAAATGATAAATTCTAAGACAAGAATGTTGAAAAATGTGCAATTCTTGAAAAACATGAAAATAGTTAAGATAAATTCTAAGTTTGTAAAATGTTGAAAAATGTGCAGTTCTTGAGAAAAAATCCAAACATACTAATGATAAATTCTAAGTTCATAAGAATGTTTAAAAAGTGCAATTCTTGAAACAATTTACAAAAATTCTAATAAGTTCATAAAAAATCTTTAAAAAATGTGCAATTCTTGAAAAAATTTACGAAAATTCTTAGTAGTGCATAAGAATTCTAAAAATTCAAATGATAAATTCTAAGACAAGAATGTTGATAAAATGTGCAATTCTTGAAAAAATTTAAAAAAGTTCCAAGTGCATAAGAATGTTTAAAAAACATGCAATTCTTGAACCAATTTACAAAAATTCTAATAATAAATTCTAAGTTCATAAGAATCTTGAAAAAAAATTGCAATTCTTGAAAAAATTAACAATTCTAAGAAGTACATAAGAATTCAAATGATAAATTCTAAGACAAGAATGTTGAAAAAATGTGCAATTCTTGAAAAACATTATGAAAATAGTTCAGATAAATTCTAAGTTTGTAAAACGTTGAAAAATGTGCAGTTCTTGAAAACTATGAAAATTCAAATGATAAATTCTAAGAAGTTTGTAATTGTGTTAAAAAAATCTTAAGCAGATGTTGTTCTTATCTGGAAAAGCACATACAATATTGTCGTTGCCACAGGACTGATCGGAGTTCAGCACTCTACGTTTTGTTTTTAAGAAGTTACTTTAAAGAACTTTTTTGAACACCGAGAAGAAACACCTGTGGAAATCTAGTTAATCTTGTCGTTTTATTTCGAGGGCTCCCCTTTAATGACCGAACGCTTGCATAACTGTCATTTGTCTTCCTCTAATGCTTTTCGTCAGCACAGAAAACGCTGCTGTTTCCAAGCAACAGTTAACATAAAGATGATAGACTGAACTCTTAAACGTGCCGTATGCATCTTCATGTGTGTCAGCCAGCTGACATCTGCTGCGGGAAACCATTAAACACAAGGACAAAGCTGTGTCAACAGAACAACCGCCGCTTGAAGATGTTTCCATCATAACCACGGATGAAAGGTGAAGATGAGAAAAGAGACCTGGGGATGCCTGCTGTCTGTCTTACTTTGGACAGTAAAGCACAAACATATCTGAACTCATCCATGTGAGTTAATGTTCATCTCCAAATGAATAAAATAGATTAAAAAATCCACCTCAACATTTACACTTGCAGTGTTTGCAGAATGCACATACTTTCTGCTCAGAATGAGCCTAAAAAGCGAAATCTTAGGCATAATTAGGGATAAAGATTCATCTCCAAAAGCACAAACATAAAATAACATCTGAAGTTGTAATACAAAATGTGTGAAAATGTATTAAAAAATAATTGTTTAAACACGTCATCTGTTAAGAAAAATATTTAAGTATATAATTTTTACAAATATCATTTTTAATTTTTTTAATATAAAATATATATTTAAATATGTAATATTTAATATTAATTCATAGTGCCGTTTTATATAGGTTCTCATATTCTGTAAAATAATTATTTTTTATATATATATTATTGTTTTGATTTGTTCGCTATTTGCAATGGTTACTGTTTACTATTTGTCATAGTGTGCTTTTTGGAGAATTGTATATCATTATTATTATTGTTGTTGTTGTTAAATTATTGTTAATTAGTATAAGTAACCCACAACATTTAAAAAAAAACATACAAAAATGTTTAACCACACTAAAAGTCTGAATACCTCAGAAACCGTTGTTGGCAGAAAGTTTCGAATACATAAGAGCCCCTCGTGTTTTCTTCAGAAAATCTATTTAGTGTTTTATTTACTTTAGCTTTTGAGACATCAACTTTAATGTCATTAAGGATGTGCCTCACCCTCCTTCAAGGAAACGGATACGATATAGTTTTTAGCCGTGGCGTGACTGTTTGGGTGGATACCAGAGCATTTCCTAATCTCAAAAGGCATCGGTATCAAACTCATGTATGATGTCTTTGGCTGTTTCATGTTGGGAGTTTTTTCTGATCTTAAAACACAACCTCTGCTTTATAGGTTAATCTACGATAGCCTTTCCGTGTGTTGGATCTGGGCTTTGCACAGGCCATTCTAACCCAAAAGCGTGGCCTGGATTTCCGACCGGTTCCTTATTATAGACCTACAGCCACCCTGCATGCGCTCTTGCTTGGTTATTTGATAGTTACGGATGTTCCCTGCATTGCGCAAACCAGATTTCCCCTATTTAATTCAACGCCAGTTGGCAGCAAAAAATCTAGATGTCCTGCCAATTTTGGATCATGTACTTTGTGTC